AGTGGAACGCTGCGCTACTGAGGTACTTCAACCCCGCCGGCGCGCATCCAAGTGGTATCATGGGCGAGAACCCTCTGGGTGTACCGTACAACCTGCTTCCCTTGTTGGCGCAAGTTGCGATCGGCAAGCGCGACAAATTGCTCGTCTTCGGTGACGACTACAAGAGCAAGGATGGCACAGCGATCCGCGACTACATCCACGTCCTCGATCTAGCGCGAGGCCATCTCCAGGCGCTCAACTACCTGCGCGAACAACAACCCGGTGTCAAGGCATGGAACCTGGGTACTGGCAAGGGTTCAACGGTCTTCGAGATGATCAAGGCCTTCAGCACCGTTGTCGGACGCGACCTGCCATACGAGGTTGCCCCACGGAGACAGGGTGACGTGCTCGACCTGACAGCAAACCCAACACTCGCGAACAAGGAGCTAGACTGGAAGACGGAGTTCACACTGGAGGATGCTTGCGCCGACCTGTGGAAGTGGACAGAGAACAACCCAGAAGGCTACGAACAGCAACCACCCAAGGAGTTCGTCGACGCGCTGAAGAACAAGAAGGCTTGAGCTAGGGGAGTGAGGGTGAAAGGGTATGTGCTTTCTAGGAAGTGACACCTGCATTAGCATCTTAGGGATGGATGCTGGAGCGTTATATTTTACATAGATTTGCTGGACATAATAGTTGAACCAGATAGGGTAGAAACGCAAACTTTGATTACTTGAACATCACGATATGAGCTCAGACTACCCCCAAATCCTCATCATTATTAAACTTTGGAAAAACGTAACGTTCAAGATACATTGACACCAACAGCATGATAAAAGAGAAGCAGCTAAGCCGTGGCTCGTACCTAGCGTTATCTCCAAACACGAATGCAGTATAAAATCTCGTGTTCGCTGCACACTGCCTCCTCTCTCACCTTGCGTCTTTAATTCCTCGATTTTCAGAAAACAGATAGCAAACAAGATATGTGAGAAGACAGCTTTTGGCCAGAAAATTCCGAGTTCACACTGCCATGTGTGGAGGCGCTGTCTTGCAAAAACTCTTTACGAAAAGACACCAACTCACAAGCCGATGTGTGAGATGTTCAAAAGCTCCTGGCTCAATCATGATGCCAAAATCCCGCCCTTTGCCTAGTCAGCCCTAGCACATTTGGGAGGATATATAAAACGTGCCTCTCGTTATGCTCTCTCTGACTTCTCCACCACTTCCAATATCAAAACGGCAAAAAGACCAAAAGAAAAACGCACAATTCCATGGGGTGGAAGAGAGGGTCGGACGTCCAAAAACAGCCTGTTCTGCTTCCATGCATTTGACCCTCATCAACTTCAGAGACGGCGCCAAAAGCCAGTTCATTCTGATTCATGTCCACCTTTGCGGTTTCCAAAATAGTAGCTGTATAAAAGAGTGTTCCTCCTCTTCTCTTCCATCCTCTTCACACCTCCGGATAACTCAAGGTTTCATTCAAAATTCACACAACACCTCGTCCATGAGATTGCAAGAGGAGCAGCACATCATGCATGATCGAGTTCCCGATCATTTTCCTTCCATCAAAACAACTCAACAAAATGAATCATGTGTTTGAAGTGTCAGGTTCGGGTATAACATTATCAAACATGTGCCACTGCGGTATCCAAAATCCAGCTCTCATGACAACTACATGGCTATGTGAACGCTCAAAACAAGGCCGAAGCGCAATCGATGCATTCGCGTGCTCATTTGCATCATCCTTATCACATTCCTACCAACGCCTACGCAATGTCCTCAATCGGGCAGTTTGGATGCAACACATACACCACTTTGTCGTTACCCTCAGCCTGGCCTTGTTCATCAGCGAGTCCTTCACCCCGGATCAACATGAGGTATTGTTCCTGTGGTTTTTGTTAGCACACACACCGTGAATAGATCCGTGTTTTTTCGACGTACCTTGACGACCTTCTTCAGCACCTTCTTGGCAAGTGCCCTCTCCCTCTCCAAGTCCTCTTGAGTCTCCATTTCGTTCTCCTTCTGCTCGAGGTACCAGATCAGCAACTCTTCCTCTTCGACACCGTCTTGCGTCTCTTCTTGGTCCTCGTTGACACGTTTGACAAACATGTTCCGCATAGCGACGTACTTGTCGTGCGTGATCTTGGTCTTCTCGCGCGGCGCAACGGCTGGAGTCGCTGTTCGGTCTCGAGAGGCATCTTCCTGGTCGTCCATCGGCGCATCAGCCTCCTGCTCTGCAGCAGCTGCCGCGGCGAGCAACGCTTCATCATCGTCGTCCTCAACTTCAACGTCATCCTTCTCGACTGAGATGATGGATTGACGGAGAAGATTGTAGGCTTCTTTGACGAACTCGGGAGTGATGTCGCTGACGCAGTTGGCCTTGGCGATAGCCTCTGAGAGACGAATCATACTCTCAAGTTGACGAACAGTGATACGGTAGCTGTTGCGACCGATACCGCCTTGCGCATCGTCTGCTCGCAGCTCCTTGTATTTCTCGACGAGCGTTTCTCTTGCCTCATCAGTAAACTCGGGTCTGAATGTCCTTGCGAACCGGATGTAGCGCTGCAGCTGCTCAGTGTTGAACTCTGGGTCAACAGCTTCGTCGCGGTGCTGGTGGATACCGACGATATGCTCGGCAAGATGGCGGTCGACAGCCTCGTCGCACTCATCCAACACTACGAAGAATAGATCGAAACGGGACATGATAGGGGCAGACATGTTGACGTTAGCGCGTAGCGTCGTCTTGCGGTTGTAACGTCCACCGACGGGATTGGCTGCTGCAAGAATAGAGGTTCTGGCGTTGAGCGTGGCCTGGATACCAGCCTTTGCAATGGAAATGGTCTGCTGTTCCATAGCTTCGTGAATAGCGACTTGATCGGCGATGTCCATCTTGTCGAACTCATCAATAGCACAGATACCGTTGTCAGCAAGCATGAGTGCACCAGCTTCGATTGTGAACTCTCCAGTCTCCTCATCCTTGACCACAGCAGCCGTAAGACCGGCAGCCGAAGATGCCTTACCAGAGGTGTAAACGGCGCGAGGAAGGAAGCTGCAGATGTACTTCAGGAATTGTGACTTCGACGTCGAAGGATCACCGACAATACAAATGTTGATGTCTCCACGCAGCGCCATTCCCTCAGGTGTCTCCTTCGACACACCACCCATCAATTGAAGGAGAAGTCCCTTCTTGATGACTTGGTGGCCGTAGACCATGGGCGCTATCGAGTCGACCAATCGCATGAAGATGTTGGGCTTGTGTACCATGTCCTTGAGATCCTGGATCTCTGCAGCAGTCAGAGTCCCAAGATACTCCTCTTGTGCTTCTTCGCCGCTTGTCGCATTTGACTCGATCTGGCCCTGGCCAAGAGAAGCGAGAATATTGCTTGCCTGACCTGTCAAGTGATGGTTGGAAGTCTGCCCTGGAGTAGAGTGATCTGGCGACACCATGCACGCCAAGAAGGACATGCGGTATGTCAGATCGCGTACACCAAGGGCTTTAAGACCGCTGACACCCGACCCACCGACATCGTTACCTCGCGTGGTGTTTGCTGTATCTCTTTGCGCTTGTGGGCGTACACCTGGTACACGGAACTGGCTGACATCTGGGATCACGATCACTGTGCCGGTGAATATACACTTCTCACCAGCCTTCGCGCGATCCACCATCTCTCCTCGCAAGATGACATCCATGGTTCGGGGCATACTGCCAGTGGGTATCTCCGAACTGTTCTCCTGAATGCGCACTTTCTGCCAATCTACGAATGTCGACTGACGAATATCGAGACGCCAGCCCTCCCTGTTCATGCAGGTAATGTTGGGGCATTGTGTCGGTTCGGTGTATTTGAAGGTCTGTTCGATGTTCGGTACGACGGTGTTGCAGATCTCGCATACGAAGGTGGCCATCGAAAGCTCTGGCCGGACCTCAGATGTTCGTGTTGCCGTGCCAGAAATAGAAAGCAGGCTGCCGATGGACGTGGTGCGTAGCTGGCGAATACGGGAGACGAGAGGGAGGTTGTAGAAAGCCAGGGTGAACAGCTTGTCCGTCTGCTGGTTCGAAGTCTTCTCATTGAGACTCTCATTTTGGCTCGTAGCGTTTCCAGAGTTTGAAGTGCCCGCAGCAGAGGCAGTTGAGGCGGGCTGCTTGTGCTGGCGGAAGTACTTGGGCTCGTACTTTGCGATAAGGTTGTGAAGCGACCGGACCATATATGGCAGGAAGCGGTAGTATTCGCTCGCAATGGCCGCGGCAAGAATGCCATCTTCATGCCTGAGGAGGTGTGTATAGTCGACGTAGAGGGTAGAGAGTCCGTACAGTCGCATGCCCCGTATTTGGGCGATGTAGTACTTGTCTGTGGTGGGCACGGCGCTTGATGTAGGAAGAGCCGAGGAGGATGGGTCTTCTGTGTAGCTGTTTTCGCGTCAGCATATTCGACAGCATGAAGACTGCTGTCATGAAGCTCACTTTTCGAGGAACTCCTGGAACCGCAACGAGAGCGTCTCTCCCGTCACGTCCACCACCTTGGGGATGTCTGTTCGTGGGGCGTTTGTGCGCCTGCCTGGTACTCGTGCTCCGATAATCTCGTCATCAGGGTCTCCTTCGACATCGCTGTTGGCGCCGGCGCTTTCAGAGGGGGGTCCGCGGGGTCTCGCAGACGAAGATCGCATCTGCGGTGTCCGTGCATCGTTGCCGTACGCGCTCGAGGGAGTGGGCGCGGCATCCGAATTGAGTGCGAGATCTAGTAGGGACGACATGGTGTGTGTATGGGTATCTGATGTGGGGTGCTGTTGATACAGGGAGACTCGCGGGGACGGTAAACACGCGAAAACGCGGTCGCGCTGTCCGAATGGGGAAGTAAGTGTGGGTCTGTGCACTCCGTCCAAGCATCACGCGAAGAACAGCAAGGAGCTTCGCACTGAACACGGCCACACAGAGAACAGGCAGTAAATCTTAACTCGATAGATGCTAATTAACTTCCAAAAGTATCTTACACACTCTCTCAACTAAGACACTCCCGAGGTCAAGATCAACCCCATGTTCCGCCACCACCTCTGCCAGCCCTCCTCTGCGCACTCAATCTCCAATCGTCTTCACCTGCAAACTTGTTGTGCAGGGGCTGAATTCTCTCAGCCTTCTTTCGCTTACTCAACCTGTCTGTTGGCGCGACCTTGAAGAAGGTTGGCGCTGCTTCGACAAGCCACTTCGGCTCGATAGCGCTGCAGAAATGCATATATTCTTTCGTCGTCTCCACAAGTGAGTGGTATATGACGTGTTCAGCAGGCTTGCCAAACAGTGAGGAGGAGGGATGCAAGTAGACGGGTGTGCCTTCAACGAGCGTCTTGTAACCCTCGGCAGGATCTTTGCGTGCTGAGTTGCGGAAGAAGCCCGAGCATAGCGCTTGCCGAACCTTGATCGTGTTGCGACCGCATGAAACGACTTGATGTTTGTGTCGCGCCATAATCTGCAGTAACTGGTTGCGCACGTCGCGCACACGCTGCATGTTCTTGGGTATAACAAAGTTCTCTTGACACCACGGCGTACTGAATCCACCCTGTTTCCAACCATTGTACACATTGAGAAGGGTGATATGATCGCCAGAAGGGTCGTTGAACTTCTGCTTCTTCTGGTCGGCTTGTTGTTGCTTGTCGCGTGGACGATGAAAGACGCTCTGAGTAGCGCTAATCATGGCAACAATGGTCAAGATCTCATCTGAGCATTGAAGCTCAACGGATTTGATGAGTGACTTTGACAGGGATGGATCCATTGGGAAGTCAGCCATCTGTCGACCGAGACGTGTTAGCAGGCCTTCGTCGTCCAGTGCGCCCAACTGATACAGCTCCTCCAGGGCTGTCAACATGGTATTTGTAGGCGGTGGATCCATGAAGTCGAAGTGTAACAGATCGTTGATGCCCATAGCCTTGAGCATCAAAATCGTGTTTGACAAGTTTTGGCGCTGGATCTCCGGAATCGTAGTCGGCAACATTTCGTTCTGGAATGCGGCCTCGGTATACAGACGGAAGCACTTTCCAGGTCCTGTTCTACCTGCTCGTCCACTCCTTTGGCGAGCCTGGGCTTGCGAAATCGGGGTAATCTGCAGACGATCCATTCCTAGCTTTCCATCATAGGAACTCTGTTTGACAAAGCCAGGGTCCACGACATAGTAGATGCCGTCTATAGTCAGACTGGTCTCAGCGATATTGGTAGCAATGACGACTTTGCGCGTGCCGTTGGGTGCAGGCTCGAAGATACGAGAGGCCACTTCCGACGGCAAGGCACCGTAAATAGGCAGAATCATCAATTCTGGTACGTTTGGACCCAAAGCTTTCATACGCTCTGAAATGATCTCGCATGAGGAGTCAATCTCCTCTTTACCTGTCAGGAACAGCAGAATGTCACCTGCTGGCTCCGTCAAGTGGATCTGCATGACCGTGACCAGCGCCGCGTCGAGGTAGTCCGACTCTGGTTCTTTACTGTACATAACCTCTACTGGGAAAGTACGACCTGCAGGGAAGTTAGTATCTGTCTCACATACACTTCGTGGAGTCAAGACTTACCTGGAATTGAGAAGATGGGACACTTGTAGAAGTACTCCGAGAACTTGTCGGCATCCAAAGTCGCACTCGTCACTATGAGCTTCATATCCGGGCGTCGTTTGAGTGTCTTCTTCAGCAGTCCAAACAAGACGTCAGTAGCGATTGTACGTTCGTGGGCCTCGTCAAGCATGATGCAGCTGTACTTTGACAGCATGGGGTCCAACAGGATCTCACGCTGCAAGATACCGTCCGTCATGTACTTGATACGGGTATCTGGCGAAGTCTTGTCCTCGAAACGAATCGTGTAACCAACCTCATTACCGAGAGCGCAGCCAACCTCCTCAGCGACACGCTTGGCAACACTCATAGCTGCTACACGCCTAGGCTGGGTACAACCAATGACCAGCTCGTTACCGTAGCCGGCCTCGGCCAAATACTGGGTCATCTGCGTGGTCTTTCCGGATCCAGTGTCACCGACCACAATCAGGATCTGGTGCTTGGCGATAGCTTCAAGAAGTTGGTTCCTGAACTTGAAGACAGGCAACGACTCTCGTTGCTCCTTGATGCTCATGTTTGTACGTTTGCCAAACGAGGTTTCCCTACTGTTCGTGGAGATCTTCTTCCACTCTGGTAACGCTTGGCTGGGTTCGTTCGTGCGGGTGTTGCGAAGATCGCTGGCGAATTGTCGTTGTTGGGCCATTGGATCGTTCCACTGGCTACTCAAGTCAACATTCGCTGCCTCCTTGGCGGCCTTCTCCTGGGCTTCCTGCTGTTTGAGGTCACGACGCTCCTTCGCTAGTGTGTCACCAGCCATTGCAGCGCGATTGAGCGAACCATCAGGCGCTTTAACAACTCGAATCGGTGACAGCTCCAGTGATTGCTTCGTCTGACCCGCCAAGAAGGGTGGCTCTTCCTCACGGACTTCGATGTCAACATCTTCCTCTTCTTCGAAACCACCTTCGCCATTGATGTGCGCGTTGAAGTCCTCGTCGATGTCGGGGTAGTCGGATTTTGGTATAACACCAGAAGCAATGAGTTGCTTTATCTCCCAACGTTCTGGTGAGGTCATGCGCTTTCGCATCCCGTTCTTGCGACTGTTGAAACCGTCCTCCACGACTGGAACGGAGCTGTCAAGCCCTGGTATTCCTCCAAGTCCCTGGGAGTTTGCGCCTGTGCCGAACGAGGCGATGCGTTTGCCAGGATCAAGATCTTGACCTGTCCGCTGATCCACCTCTTTCATCGACAGCGAAATCCTGTTGTTCTCATTCTTGATGACTTTGACCTTGACCTCTTGCCATCTCGATACGAGGTCGGAAGGGTGGTTCACCCGGCCCTCCATCATTTGTGTGACGTGTACCAGCCCATCGACCTTGCCCTTGACGCCTTGTAGATTGACGAAGCATCCGAAATCCTTGACACCTGTGACCTTGCCATCGTACACTTTGTATAACACGGGTTCGTCGTCAAGCTCGGGGGTAGGTGGTCGTCGGAATTCGTCTAGATCTTCGTCGCGGTACTTCTTGCGGCTTCGTTGCTTGTTGTTTGGCTTTACGGTCCGCGTGCGGCCAAACTCGTCCTCGAAGACCAGCTCGTCGTTCTGCTGTCTGCCTCGTCGCGGACTCCTCGATCGCGAGCGAGAGTACGACCGGTCTCTCTGCCTGTGTCGCTTACTCCTGCTCATGTCGTCGTCGCTGTCGTATGGGCTCATGCTTCTTTTCCGCGACCTCTCCTTGGGTTTGCTGCTTGGCCCCTTCCCTGCCAGTCCCTCCAGCATCGCAAACGTATCGTCCAATGCGTCGATTTGTGTTGCTTCTTTCTCGGGCTCGTCGTCTGCCACCTCGTATTCCACGTCCTTGTCCGGGATCGCTAGACCCTTGAAAACGCGCGTTTTGCGGTCTGTCGCATCGGTGCCGTTTTGCCCATTTGCGCCAGATTCCTTTGCTCCCTTGTTCTTGTACTTGGGATGAAGCGTCAAGATGAGACGGTCAATGCTCTCTACCAGACTCTGGGGAAATTCTGCGCCCATGGCCTCCAGCTGGTTCTTGAAGTCTGTAACGCCTTTGCATGTCGCGTGCTGATCGATAACGAACTCGGCGAGCGTCTTATCCGAAACACCGACGTGGTTCTGGATTTCTGAGGTGACCTTCGAGACGAGCGATAAGAACTCAAGGTTCGCGAGATCGTCCATGGCTGCGATTTGGCCCGCGGCGCGCTTTTCTTTGAAATGTTGGAGTGTAGGATATGGTTGGCAGACTACATCCACTTGAAAAGATGCAAAGTGAATGGCCCAACGTCAACGTAGGCTTCCAAATGTTCAGTCTTTTTTTCTTGTATGAGGTGATCTCGCGCGCGGCGCGCGTTCGTTTGGATAGTCGGGCTGTAGGATATGAGGATGCCGTGGTCGCAGGGAGGATTCTGGGTGTTTCTAGGGTTGGAGATGTCGCGCGAGAATGCTACGCGACGACTCTTTCCTCCTCCCGGTGTGGCTGCGAAAGAGTGGTGTGAATGGCTGAAGGTGTTGGATCGTCAAGAAAGTTGATGCGGCTCGGCGGCGATTTCGCGCTAGGCTCCAGTCCCCGCGCTGGCGCCGTTCCAAGATTCCACGATATCCTGCATCCATAGAGCTTTCGACCACCGACATCCAATTCTTCGCCCGCATCGCTTGATCCTCCAGCTGTCTCAGCATACTTCGTAATACTCACGATCACTGTCACAATGGTGTTTGGACGCATACATCAGTTTATCCTGAGGACGCACGAGAGAATGTTACAGCAACCCTTGAAGACTACGTTCATCCTGCTCCTCTTCAATTACGGAGGTTATCGATTCATCTCTCACTGGAACCCGATAATCGAACGAGCGCGCATAGCCAAGCAGGCGGAAATGGGACAAGCGGGCACAATGAGTGAGGGCACAAAGGCGCATACATACGCTCCGGACACTGCTGCAAGGACGCGAGTGGAAGCTGGACAAAAGTCCGGCGGAAGTTCGATTCAATGGATGAACGTGAACGGTGTACCCATCCCATTCATCGGACCCAAGTCGACCAATTAAGAACAACATCTTGCTGGTGTATCGACAAATGTTTGACTGGATCTCATCATGCGTCGAACGTAAGCCTTGGCTTCAGTGTATCGCAACCATGGGATTCAGTAAAACCTCATCTCAACAACCAACGCACACCACAATCATGTGCTGCTGGTGCCTGGAGGGGGGTTTTCAGGAAGTGCCAGCTATCAGTGGGTTTTACAAGGTGCGGCCCGCACGGAATACTGGCATCATACATCGCAGTGTTCGAGTGAAGATAAATGCTTGAGATATTGTGCTCTGGTATGAGGACTATAAGAACGGACAGTGCAACAAGTAAGAGATGGAAACGTTGCTCCATGGTGTTACCATAGGATCATCGCATGGCCGCAACTTCCATGTGACGGAGGCCTTTGTTACGTCTCCCACTGCGATTTAATGGAAGATTCGAGAGCATCTGCAAGTCTGCTTCTTAATACACCGACTTTCAGCAAGAGCGAGGGGTGGTCAATATCCTGGAAAGGGCCGTCGGCGTTATAAGGTGGTCCGAGCACTACGATGTTGAATTCGAAGCACAGGATCGCGTCAAATTGCATCATCTCACTAGCGCCGATCTCACTCCAACTCCAACATACCAACTGTGATCTGCTACTAGAAGTACAGTGACAGAACAGCTCTTGGCTTTACAAGGCACGGTAAACGTGACTTGGAAGGCGGGATCCCAAAAGAGAACGGTCTCTACACTCAACTTCGTCCCTATACATCAACTTCGCAGTGTTGGACTTGCAGCTTCAGTATCTTGTACCTTGCATTCTCTGACCGTATGCGGCTGTAGCTCGATGCTAGTGGCATGCGGCTCAGCGTCAAGGTCGATCGGCTGTTACATTGTGTGCGATGGCGCAATTGGCCCGATATGGCAGTAACTCACGGTGGCATGAATCATACGTATACTGTACTAACGCAGTACATATAAGAGCATGTTTCTTCTCTCTGGGTGCTCATCAATTATCTACCAATCTCTAGAAACCTCACGTCAACATACTTTTCCTTCATCAATTGAAGATACGTCATCCACCAGCATCCACTGGCAGCCACATTTCACTGCCGTACTTCTTGTCTTGCCTTCAAGAAGCAAGTCTCATTTGAGTGGAAATAACCTATTGCTGTGGACTGCACAGTACTTGTCATCACACGAATATCCTATTCATCCCAGCAACAACGATGGCGCCAGGACTCGTCGAACCCCACTACCAACCCACCGCTACATCAAGATCTCTCCCAACACCAAAGTCTAGCAACGCCCACAGCTACGTGCCTGGCCGTACCACTGTCAAGAAGCATGCCGAACCGTACAAGTACGAAGACCTACGACCACACTTCCCCAAGATCACATGGCCAGCCTACACAGAAATTCCCTACGCCGACAAAGGCCAACTAGGCGATCCCAACTTCAAGAACCTCCTCGCAACTGCTACAGACGTCTTTGACTACAACCCGAAGATCGGTACTGAGGTACACGGCGTTGATCTAGCAAACCTCACCGATGCTCAGAAGAACGACCTGGCTCGACTGATCGCCACGCGTGGTGTTGTGTTCTTCCGGAACCAGAAGAATTTCAGCATCGATGAGCAAAGGGAGCTGGGCAAGTACTTTGGTGAGCTACACAAGCATGCTACAACTGGAGTGCCGAAGCGAGAAGGGTTGGAGGATGTCCACGTCATCTATACCGGCGAGGATAGCCCAGACCTAAGGGCTTTGTTTACACCATCGTTCCTCTGGCACTCTGATGTAAGACTTCGATATCACATGAAAAGAGACAAGTCTTACTGACCTGAACCAGGTAACATACGAACTTCAACCTCCCTCCTACACATCCCTCAAAGTCCTCACCGGCCCACCTCGTGGAGGCGGCGGCGACACCCTCTGGTCTTCCCAATACGCAGCCTACGACATGCTCTCACCCCACATGCAAAAGTATCTCGAGTCCCTCACTGCCCTGCACTCCGCAGAGTTGCAAGCCCAAGGCTCACGCGACCTCGGCCGAACAGTCCGTCGCGAGCCTGTCACCACCGAACACCCACTCGTTCGGACGAACCCCGTCACGGGCTGGAAGAGCATCTTCTTCAACCCTGGCTTTGTGACCAAGATTGTTGGTGTGCCGAAGACGGAGTCGGATCATATTATTAGTTTCCTGACGGAGATTGTGGCGACTAGTCCCGAGGTTCATGCTAGGTTTCAGTGGAATGAGGGGGATGTCGCGTTTTGGGATAATAGGGTTACGGTATGTTGAGTCTCGTTCTTCGAAATAACGCACTGCTGACAATGAGTAGAATCACTCCGCTACTTACGGTTTTGCGCCTCATCGTCGACACGCCGTCCGAGTAACTGTTCGTGCCGAGCGACCATATCTCGATCCAAACAGTCGGTCACAGGAAGACGAGTTGAGTGAGAAGTATGGGATTCGCAAGGCAAACAAGGATGGGAGTGGTGTTGTGAACTACAACGACTGAGCGGCGAGCATCCCATGGAGCAGCGACAGATTGATTGTAGGCATTGATGAAATGAGCGTTCTTTAGCGAGCATGTGTTGGTAGCGCTAGTGTGCATATAAACAAGATTCTCACACCTTCTCTTCTTCCTTTCCTTCATTCCAATATACGTTTCAGTTCTTCAAAAACGGTTATGTTAACGTCTCACGAGTGGAGAGCGAGTTGAGCACAAAATTACAATTCGAACGCTCCATGTGTGTAACCAGTCCACTTTCTTACACCGTATTCTGATTCACGAATGAAGTCTACCAAAAGATGGACAACATCAATGCATGTTCTGCTTTGACCAAGAAGTGGTAGCCAAGACTGGAAACGAAAACAGCGATGTTTGTGGGAAAACTGGGACGGAGTTCTTACTTCATGTCACCAAATTCGGGGTTCGGAAATGATGCGTTCTCGGCAGTCACCCACAAGTTCTTCCTACCTGCCGCGCGGCGGCCATATAAACCAGACTTGTGACGACCCTCCTTCTCTTTATCATCAGTTTTTGTGTTCGATCTTTCCGAAATCGAAGAAAATTCCCGTTATGTGTGGGCGAGTCTCAAAACCCCGAAAACAAAGATTACATGGAAGAAAGCGAGTGCGAAGAAAATAGAAGGAAACCCCTTCATGTTTGGCCGGTTGCACCAAGTAAGCACCCACCAAAAGGTCCAGGTCATCGGGCCATGTCTGCAGGTACATCAGTCCTGTTTACACCAAGAGAGCGGCCCTGTAGGCCACCTAAAAAAGCTCCTCGGTTCTTCCTGAGGGGGGGTTTTTTTTGGACAGACGATCAAAGCCAAACTGAGCTATCAAATCGTACAAAAGCCTATCTTACGTCCTCTACTTCTCTTCTTCATCACACACCGAGCTGAATGTAAACACAACACTAAAGCCATTGTGGACGAGTACATGTGTTGTAAGCAAGTCTGTATGAAAGTTATAATGAACGCAACCATGTCTGTGAACAGCGAGATTTAGAAAAGGATGTGCAAAAAGCTCAAATTTACGGTCCCATGGGATCAGGGTTTGGTGAATTAGTTCTACAGATGTGGACACCTTGTATCGCTGGTTAAGATGTGATAGTGATGTCTTCGATGTCTGCATATGAATGCGGTCATTAGTCTACAGTCATCAACTACACGCATACATCAATTCAACAAGACAATACATGTATGACCGCCATTCCCTCGCCCACATTGGCATACCGTGCCAAGACAAGCAGCCAACAATTTGAACCGCTACCAACGCCAATCCAACCATACACACCGATATTGGTTCGAAATATCCCTATGAGGGCCACTTGGGCAACGAAGTTTTTCCCTGGTTTACCTGACTGAACCGCCCAGAAGGCCGCCGCCGCCTAATGATGCACGTGGCCAGTACAATCAAGGTCGCGAAGACGAAGAAGACAATTTTCACAACACGCCAAACCTTGGCTGCAGTCGAGAGTGGTGCGCTTGACAATAAGTCAGAACCGGTGTGTCAAGAAAATGGATAAATTGAAGATTGTTCGGATCGAAGTAGGACGAAGGACAGACGGGAGATTGAGCGCTTATTGCTCCTTTTCGTACCCTGCTGGCTTCTCCATGCCTTGCATTTCGTAGAAACGAGATGTGCCTGTGACGTGTTAG